GAACCATCCTTTGTTAAAGGCCCAACGGACTTGTACAATGATAAACTCGCATGTACTAAGCCTAAACCTTTCTTGAACAAAATTATTTATTTACAAAATTTTAATAAAAATTGATTGCATTACAAAAACAACAAAGGCTCGTAATACACTAGTAAGGCAGTGGTTGGTCATACTTCGGTCTTCAACTGGATTCTTACGCGTTTTAGCCTCTAAGGGTTTTGTTTTATACTGCTACGGTTTTCTCAAAACTTCATGTGATCCACTCAGTCACTTCATTACAACAATATTTGCATTATTAGAATTAAGAATTGTACAATCAGCCCCAAGGGACAAATGCCCGTGACCAAAGGGGGGAAATCTTTTATTTTATTAGGGGTTCAAGGTTATATTTGACAATTAACAACTATTTTTATTTCTCGTGTATCTATACATTCTCTCCAACGTCTCCATGATTGTTGACAATAATCTATTGTTGACATGTTGAAGTAAACAATAATAGTATGAATATCACGTCTTAGATTGTTGTCGGTTTCTTCGTCCGACTTTTCTTCTCGTGTAATCAGAAGAAATACTTTCATAAAATTAATCAAATGAGTCCAAAAGTTGCTTTTGAATCTCAAAAGCTCATTTTCACTCTTCGATTGAAAGAATATAATTTCTACCAGACATTACTCTATTGTACTCCAATGAAATCGGAAATTAAGATATTTTAATTTTAAATAGTTCAAAACGCGTTACAGAGCAATATATAAAAAGTCATGCCAAACGGGTCCATAGTTTCTTTGTAAAAGCTGCACGGCATACTCATGATATAAGTGTGGGAAAGATGTTCCTAAGTTTTGCTTATTTTTAGTTTTTACACTGTGAACATCAAACGAAGCAAGAAATAATCGATCATGGGTAAAGTGTGAAAGTTAAAGCTGTTAGCTGCTTCTTCCAGAATTCGAAAAAAAAGCCATCTGAAGAGTGTGCTTTTAGCTTTTTCACTATTTATTGCATAAAATCAATTAGTCAAAAAAAAAAAAAGAGCTGAATCCAAAATAAAGTAGTGCTTTAAAATATTACTTTTCCTATTTATTTTACAATTTTCTTTACTTCCTTAATCGTGAGATTCTAATGGAAGTTGACAGCATGCAGGCTGCTTTTTGAACATGCTATATTGAAACGTCAATATCCTAATAATTAATTATTTTCCATTTTTCAACTTGATTTTAATTTTTGACATTGGTGTAACCTAAAGGTAGGTGTGGGCGTGGCTTGGATTGGGTCGGTTTTTGTCCCGATCCAAACCCAACCCAACCCAATACGATCGGTTTGATCGAAATTCAACCTAACCAAACTCACGAAAAAATTGAAACCCAACCCAACCAAATGTCGGTTGGGTTGGGTCAGTTTGGTCGGGCTGGAACAACCTTTCAACAAATATTA